ATCATAATAGCATAATCTTCCTTGTAGATTTTTTCCTCCCTGGTAATTAATGACTCAATGAAATTAATGAATCAGAGCATTCAACTCCTACAAACTTATGCTTAATTCCTAGGGAATTTTGTAACATTAAATTGTATTATTACTTAGTGGTGAAAATAGACCACCTCACTAAACTGGTGTATACATTTGGGTCTGCTTCTTAGCATAATTGAATGATATATTGCTTTCTTTATATTAGTGTTAATTAGCGCAGTGCTAAGCAAGGCTAAATCCTGTAAGCTCTTTTCTCCCTTTGCTATATGATATCCAGGAAGAAAATGTTAAAATACTACTCAAATTACTTGACAAGTTCAGCAGTGTCAAAGAGCCTTCTCCTTTTTTAACATTTCAGCATTAATGTGAGAACATACCACGTGAAAATTTAATAAGCAAAATAAGTCAGACAGAAAATGTTGAGAACCATATGATTTCACTCATACATGGGATCTCAAACTGAAAGCAACAGACAAGCAAGAGAAACAAACAAAAACTCAGACACAGACACCAGTTTAGTAGTCACCAGAGGGAAAGGGACAGGGAGGTAGGTAAGGGTAAAGGGGGTCAAATATAAGGTGACAGAAGGAGATTTGACTTTAGGTGTGAGCACATAACACATACAGATGATGTATTGAACTGTACACTCGAAACCTATATAATTTTATTAACCAATGTCACCCCAATAAATTGAATTTAAAAAATTAATTTAAAATAAGAAAAAAAAAGAATATAATTTGGAAACCTATCATTTACGTTTTGAAAGAAATGAATAGAAATTTTTGACTTGGGCCTCATTTTCCTCATTTTGCTAGCTGATAGGATCTGGCATAGCATACCCCAAGTCATGCATTATGACATAGTGCAGGTTTACCAGCCCACTAAATCACTTACTGTGTTATTCAGGGAAATATCATTATATTGGAATAGAAACAAGCCACAAAGTAGAGGATGTTTTACTGAAATAAATCAAATCAAAATAAGCCTGCCTGTTGGCACATTTTTTCCAAGGCAGAATCAAAATATAGCTAAATGGACATGAAGCCTAATTTGAGTTGCGAATGTGACAGAATATCCACATTACTTGATACGATAGGCAACTTGACTGTTTGCAAATGTCTGTCAACTCACTAATGAGATCACAAGCTTAACATGAGTGGGTTTATAAGGAAGCTCCATCTCCAAAGCAAACCACATGTTTAAAATCACTGAAATATAAAAGAGTATTCAATGAGATCATTTAAAAATTCTAGCAATTTGAGAGAAGCGAAATTATGGAAATTTAGTTCCTTCTAGAATTCTTAGATATGTTGAAATTAAATAATTTATTTAAATGCACACATCACAATTAAATACTAAAAAGGCACACGTAGAGAAAAAGAAAAAAAAAGAGAAAAGAAAAACACTGAAAAGTTGAGTGACATAGCCAAAGATATTTAAACGAGTTAAGCTCCTGGTAGAAGAGACTTTAGTTGAATGAGATTTTGAAAGCCCCAAATCAAAAGACTTTCTTCCTTTTTTTTTTTTTTCTTGCTGTATAGTGGAGATAGATAAAGGTATTTCTCTGAGTCTTTACCTCCTCCGGATCTCAGTCTTCTAAAAATTCTGAGGACCAACCCAGACTGAAGTTTGGGTTGAATTTATATACTCATCAGCACCTCGTTATAATACTGCTATTTGGCTGAAATTAAAGTGCAAAACAGATTACATTTCCACTTAAAGAAGTGACTGGGCGTAGAGATGGAAGGAATTAGAAAAAGTGGTGATTTAGGAAGAGAATAAATTGGTATGCATTGTGTATAACACACAGTAAGAGAAGACTGCTGGAATGACCCTCACGAAAGCACTGTCTTCTCCTTTCCATCCTTCCTTTCCCATAGCATGGTTTAAACAGCTACCGAGGTGTCTTCAGAAAGCTCCAAGGCCAAGGTGGGCTTTTCTGGGCTAAATCTTGTGCCAGGGGCAGCACATTGGCTTACGATGCTGCGTGAATGGCAAAACAAACAAACAAACAAACAAACCTTGAGAATTCTCTTTGACGAATCCTAATGCTTGTCTGTTCCACGTAGGTGCGTGCGAGCGCAATAGCCCAGGACGCCGACCAGAATTACGACTATGCCAGTAACAGTGTGGTCCTTCATTTGGAGCCAGGAGACGAAGTCTACATCAAATTAGATGGTGGGAAAGCCCACGGAGGCAACAACAACAAATACAGCACATTTTCCGGATTTATTATTTACGCCGACTGATAAAGCAGCAACTAAGCTTATTCTCCCGAGTTCGGACACTGGATTCGTGAGGCTAACGTCAGTGAATCAAGGATCCCAGGGGAATGCCAGTTGTGGGGCACCTCAGTTGTGTAGATGTGGGGAATTCAAATGCTACCTGACTCACATCTGTATACTCAGAAACATTATGTAAAAAAAAAAAAAAAAATTAAAAGCAAGATAAGCAGATGTGTGACCCACTACCGCCAAAGCAAATACTCCTTATTGTTAGTGTCCCGTGAATGAAGTCCTATATAGATCACAAATTTTTATAGAAAAATCTAAGACTGAATTATTTCTTCAATATATATGATACTTTGGTGTACCGTGATCTCGCTGCTCTTATCCATGTCAGCTTTGGTTCTTGTGAGTGTATCTGCTTCTTATGATACTCGGAGTCCATTCATAGCGTGGGGAGGAATGATTTTACCCTGCAGGAGGAGGTCTAATTGAAATCATGCTGCTTGTCCCCAAAGAAATTGTTTTGCCTTGTACCCGTGTTAACTTTAGAGCTAGACCTGGGAATGATTCAACTTCAAGCCTTAACCTGGAATTTTCTGGATTTGAGGGAATTCCCAAAGCCTATGATCATTTTCCCATTTTTTTTTTTCTTCCACATTTTCTTTTCTCTCTTTTCTGGTGATAGTCTTTAAAAATAGAGATTGAAATTGTATCATAGGATCTCTCTATAAGTGTGAAAAAATGTATAATTATGTATGGTATTTAGAAAATCCCCTATGTGTCCATTTTGTCAGTAGAATGCATTTAGATTTACTCGGAAAGTCAGAGGAATTTATTCTTTGGTGTTAAGTCAGACCGAGGCTTTTGCCTTCTTTGGAACAAAAGATTATTCATCACCCAATGCACAAAGGTTTAATTCGAGCTACAGCATGAATCACCAAGGGGGCACAGTAAGTTAGGCCTTCAAATAGTTACTTACTGTAAGTCATGGCCTGAGGCTATTCCAAAATGAACAATTTCACATGTAACCGACATGACAACAAAGTGTATATATTTTATACAAATACCTGCTACATGTATGTGTGTGTATGTGTGTATCTGTATATATACACACGTATATGTTAGATGAAATATAGTATATATATGGCTTCAGACTGTAGGCATAGTGGCTGGTAGAGCCTCAAAAATTTCATTTAAAAAAATGTATGTGTATGCATACACACAGACACACAAATTATTTGACTTATTTTGGATCGAAATATATTTTGGATGACAAAAAATATATGGGATAGCAAAATTATTTAAATGACTTCTCTTTTAAGAGTTTTGCAGAAAATTAATTATTAGTTTAAAATGCCCTATGCATCACATATCTGTAAATTAAGCCTATGGCTTCTCTATTACCCTCTGCCAATTGATACTTTTCACTGCATTCTGTGGCAGATTGTTAATATTAAGACTGCTGAAACGAAGTGGCTCTCTTTTCCAGTGTTTATGAATTATATGCATTTAAATCATTAATTTTTTCTTTTTTCCTCAAGTGAATTGAAGCTGACAGTGAAGTAGATTTTGAGAGTAGTACTAAATCCTTTCTCTCTGGTGATAGACACTGCCAAAAGCTATCTCTTTAAATCTAAGACAAAAATTTAAAATGCACGTCGATAGATCCTAACTATCAGACAACTTGCACTCTTACAATGAAAAATCTGTTCCCCTCTCAGCTGCCCTTGAAGAATCTTTGACATGTAGGTTTAAAAAAAAAAAAAAGAAACTTTTAAGAATCTGCTTACTTTACTGATGAAGGACATTTGCATTTTTTTATTTAAAAGAATTAGTTTGTTCTCCTGGCTCATTGCTCTTGGGTACTTTCTTTCTAATACACAGAAAGCTTGATCATCTTTGATCTGCAGAAACATCTTTTATTTAGCAAACCTCACCTTTCCAAAAGAGTTATGCATGGTATGCCCGTCTGAAGGTGCTGTTCGCTTGGTTTTAAATGCATTGGTTTGAGTAACTCCTGATTTATACGATTAAAAACACTTAGCCCATTCACCAAGAATAATAACTAATTCTATTTGGCCTTTCTAATATGTAAGATAACTCATAAAGGAGCTGCAATGGATTTTATTTCTATTTAACAATATGTACTTATTAAAGAGGAATTGGCAACAAGGGTTTGAAGAATTGTGCTTTTGTTTTGTTTTTGGTTTTTTGTTTGTTTGTTTGTTTGTTTTTAGGTAGCAGATAGCATAGTGAAGATGCAACCAAAAGATTAACTTATAAACAGCAGTGCACATCAACTAAGAGTTTTAACTAAGAGTTTTTAAAAAAGCCTTTATTTACACAAAACATCAGGGCTGGGTACCTTTTAAAGAGTAGGTTCTAGAATCAGACTGTCATTTCTAATGGATCTGACCTTTCTTCAGATAAATAAGCATTATTTTCTCTGTTTAGGCCCAAGGAGAAACAAATGAAAGGTAAAGGAAATAAAGAGAATATATATAAGGCAAACATTTCTCTCTCTCTTTTTTTTTTTTTTTGCATTATACATTATTAATTAAATTGTGGCCTTTGTTATTATAAATGTAATGATTCATTAAACTATATTATGTAATATATTTTGACTTTTTATGATTGAATTTTTATAATTCAGTACTATGTTATGTGTTTGTGTCCCCGTATGTAAATTTTTCAAAGCACAACAAAATTTTTAGCAAAAATGGATACCAGAACACCACAGGCAACACTGAGGATTTATTATAATTATGTACAGACAGGTGGACAGCATATAATTATCTTTCCACAATAGTTTTACCATTGTTGAATTGGTATTTGTCTTAACAGTATTCGTTGAAAAGAAATCTCAGAATTTAACTTCCCTTGCTGCAGAAGCTGTTTTATTTTAAAGTGCCATATTATTCATTAAGCATTAATTAAAGAACAGCAGGATAATTAGTAGGATCATCAATACTACAAGAAACATTAGATTGCTCCAGAAGGGGGTAATTTAACTAGAAACACTTTAAATTTTCACAAGTAGTACAGCTGATAGATTAAGAAAACAAAACAAAACAAAACTCTACCAAGAGGATATAGACTGTAAATCATGGTTTGGAAATAGGTATTTTGTGTATTTATTTTGTTAAGGCAGTGGGCTGAGTGAGGCCCCTTGCAGGTTCAGATGTAATAGCCAGTTTCTGAGAAGGGAAAACTCTTCTAATTCCCATAAAATGCAAATGATCTGTCATTAGCCCTATGTAGGTCTGATTGATAACTCACTGGGTTCGAAACCACCGGATGATCTCTGTAAGCTTTATGCTCAAGGTGTGAATTCCTAACCATCCTATTTGAAAGTCAGCCATTGCTTAGGGTTCTCTATCAGTATCTTATCAAGCGCATTCTCAGTTATACCTCTGAGCAACATTTTAGGGACAACGTTGGTGAGTATGTGAGAATAGCCGTGACCTCCGTATTTCATCAGCCGGTGCTTCGTGTGTATGTCGTGTGCCATCAGAATTCGATCTTCATAGCCCTCATCCACCAGAAGACGCACCCTGTGGAAAAATGTTAACTCATTATATGGCATGCGTCTCACATTTACAATTTTCAGGGTGCTTTAAACTTTTCCCTCATAAATCTGATGTGCTTGTCGTAAAGATACCGCCTTCCACTGTGGCACAGGGACTGGGGGACCCTTAATAAATATTGTGTGGTGATGAGAAAGATATTGCTTCATTGTAGTAGGAACATGATCCTTATTCCGTGCACACAGAAATGTCTAGCCTGTGATATTTATGACAATGCCTGGCAACGCTGGATGAAAGATAGCTTCTAATAGGAGGTGCCAGTTCGAATGAATGGCCACTTTAGCATTTCACTAAATAACTTTGTTCTGCCTCTGTAGCCAGCTCTGTACTCTGAAATGCCTCACCTAGTAGGCCTACTTTTCAGATCTCATTTTCTCTCCTTTTCTAGCAAATAACATCAATGACTCTTCGTGATTAAAATAGGGAAACAAAAGGAATCTTCGTACGAGTAAATCATTCTGAGAGTAAAATCAGTTGGTTTGACAGTGACGGGCATATGATAAGCAATATAGTCATTTTAAAAGGTCAGCAATGGTTCTTCTGTATTCTGAGCATTTGTCCCTTTGAAGTTTATGGGAATTTCAACTTACTCTTAAATGCACTGGGTTAAATTGACCAATAAAAATTTACCTTCCTTCCATTTCAACAAGATTGCTATAAATAATGAGCCGTTCCTTTAAATTTATAGTCAGTCGGCTAAAGAAGGGCTTCACCGTGGTCTAAACATCTAATCCTCTTTGCTTTGTTAAATGCCGTAATCTGTCGTGAGTCACCTCCGGACAGCCACCATCTGTATGTGTCTGGGCTCTGGGCAGTGTCCGTGTTGACTTCCATGGGTCTCCGATGGCAGGAGGCAACTCTTGGAGACATTGGCTCTCCACCGGCATCTGTTACAAGGTCTCGTTAGTCTCTAGATTCCCAAGTGCATCTGAGTGTCATTTTCGTTCCGATAGCATTTCTTGGCAGTCTAGTGCATGAGTCATCTAATAACTACTAGAGTGAGCAAAATGTGGGCCGCTACTCGAAAGACTCCAGCACAAAGCCCCACCCTCTGGGAACATACATTTTAAAATAAATTATAATCAAAGATTAGATCTTGTGTTTGCCGCTCAAAGAGATACAAGTGTGAAAGAAAAAGAGCCAAACTGGGCATTTTTCTAGATTCCTACATTCATGTCACGTGTACCCCATGCGTGTCCTATGAGTACGTGGAGGGCTACTTGGGCCACCATGGTTCTTTGCCTCTTTAAAATTTGTGTAATGTCTGAAAGTTCTGATCTTCAGTTACTTTTGGAGCAAACCCTCTTCAAGGGAATGGTCTAAGAGAGTTCTGTGATGATTAATGAAGGAGAGAAAGATTTGACAGAATGCAGACGTGACGCTGAAACAGTGTGACAAACCTCGATCCATAACCAAAAAAGAGTATCGTATTACAGGAAATTATAGAGTATACATTCCCCCTTATATCTTCTGAGCATTTCCCCAAGTTTTTGTCTCTTTGAGAAAAAAAAAATGATATCTTATTACTACAGAGGCATATCTTATGGATAAACAAATTCCTGTAGGAGGCCTCGGGTCAGACCCCAAAGTTACTGAATTGTGAAATAAGTATTAAGGAAAGAATATAATGGGTAAGACACTCATTTGAAAATGGGAATCCTTAGAACTTATTAAGTCAAGCATCTGGAGATTAGTTATCTTAGGAGAAAGATAATGTTATGGCTCTGGAAACGTAATTATATCCTGACTATCAAGAAAACTGCCCGGTCACTCCTAAAATGAGATCATCTCTCTCGCTGGGCCATTTTATGAGAGAACAGTAGTTCCAGAGATGCCGCCATAAGGGAGGAACCACTACAGATGAGAAGACAAAAAATCACAGTAATTATAGAAATACAAATGAGTTAGTGTTTTGCAAACAAATATTAGAGAGAGACTACAAAGTGTGAAAAGGCAGAGATATAATAAGATTTGAGAAATGGAGCATAAGATTGAAAACAGGTGTTAGACACAGATTTCTGGTGCTGAAAACCAGAGGTAGGCAGAAGCGTGCTTCTCTGTTCTTACACTTCAAGCTTTAAGACGACTAGAGCTCAGGGAAGGACTGTCAGTGAGTGATGGAAAGGCAAGCGCCCAAGAGATGGGGAACAAGGGTCCTGGGTCACACACAGCCCAAAATGTCATTGAGTAATTACTGGGAGCTGTACTCCAGTCAAGCGACCTAACTCATGGTTTTAATTTAAGGAAGATTAAGGATATGTACATACACGTACACATAAACATACGTAAACACGCATATATTAAATATAACTTTTGATGTATTTCTCTACATCTGGAACGCTTACATGTGGCACGGTGAAAGCTGACCTTATTAAGTTCTTATTCTTGAATTAATAACCGAAAGGAGCTGAGAAGGAATACTGGGGTGGCTGTTGGCCATCCATCCCCCAATATCTCCTTCATAGAGTCCCCCTCTGCGGATCCCTCCTCTCTTATCCCAGAAGGTCTGGGAGCCTCATGGTAGGCACAGCGATGCAAAAGACACACCTCACAGCTACAAAGGGAGCGGGTCCTGGCGGCTGACGTCTTATTTCCAAGATATAGTGTAACACACGTGTGGAGGATATTCATCAGGAAATCACGGTTTTGAGATCATGAAAGATAATAAAAAGCTACCATACCACTCCATTTGAAATTCCAGACAGTATTCACCTCTGAGTATGGCATAAGCCAGTAGGGCCCTTGGGACACCGATTTGCCTGTATTGAATGATGCTCCTGGACAATAAATTGAAATCATAAAACAAACAATAAATCTGTTTATCAGATAATCTGAGTAGTTAAAAAAAAAAAAAAAAAAAAAAGGAAGGAGAAAGAAAGACCTAGCTTCATTGGTCAGGACCGTCGAAGCAGTTTGCTTATGTAGAGCCGAGCGTCTCCAACTTTATGTAACTAGTATAACACTGATCACTAGCTGTCTCTAATGACACTAAACTTGAAGCGTGTTTTACTGTGAATGAGGTCATCAGGGAGGAAGGCCAGTACACAGGGACAGCACAAGACATACAGACATGACGGCCGACGGCCCAGGTGGCCACTGGCTCAAGATCTTCCCCTCAGCCCCAGCGTGCACATGTCCAGCTATCGCTACTTGAGCCTCAGAGTTTCTGGACATCGCTTCTCTCCCCCAGTTTTGTTTATTCCTATTTCAACCAGTTTTCCACACTTGTAACCCTATTCCGGTCCTTGTCATCTTGGAGAACTAACTACTTCCTCTCTGAGTTCTGAGTCTCCACGTTCCTACTCTGACCACCAGTAACGTCTTTCTCCTCATTCACTCACCCTCTTCTACTGTCTGTGTCTACCCGCTTCATCAAAGCTTCTGGTTGTTCGGTCCTGCTGCAGATCTTCCCGCTGCTCTCTGTGCTTTCTTCCCTGCGGCTCCTCATGACCCCCATCTCAGCCCTTCCCTTGTCCCCTTGGCGAGCAACCTTATTTTTTCAGACAGAATCCCAACCTCTGATCTCTGCAACTATTATTCACTTTTTTTTTATTTTTTATTTTTTTTGATTCTACTCACAAAGCTTCTTTGGTCCAAATACCAAGATACAATACATTTTTGGGAAAATAATCAGCAAATCGTGTGCATTGGTGCCAGTATGCAGTCATTCAGTCATGATCTCCAGCCTCTACTGGGTGTTACACACAAAATGTCATCTCTCTCTCATTCACTCAGCATCCATTCCCAGCCTACATCCTCCTGTGCAAGGTCCGGCCCTGGATCCACTCCTTCTTTCTCAGGGGATAACTGTGCCTACTTCATGGTGCTCTAGAGAACATACAGGGCCACATGTTCTCAGTTTCCTGTCTCTTCTCCCACTAAGACGTCTATCTGCGTTCACCCCTTTACTTGCCTCGTCTCCTCTCATTTCAGTGGATAACGTGTACCTTCTTTCAACTAACTTTCCCTTTGCCTCCTAGATTCCATCTGTCTGTTTAGGAGCCTTGCTTTGTATCTTTTATCCAGACTTTTTTTAAAGTTAACATTGATTGACCACTTCCATATTCTGCACCAGCCACTCAGCTGAAAACGTAGCATGCTGTATTTCGTATAAATTCTGTGACGAGCCTGTGGAATGGGCACTGCCTACTTCCTGGATTCGTCCTCTCTGCCTCCGTCTCTCTGCTCTTGCTCTCAGCCACATACATGTCGCTCAGCTTCTAACAAAACCTTCCCTTGGTCCTGTCTCGTCTTCTGTCTTTAGCCCTACACCCCTGGTTCCCTTCCCTACCAAGCTTCTTGAAAGGCTGACCTCCCCATTCTCTCTCTTCCTCATGAACTTGTTCCTCAGGCCTTTGCTACCAAAACTATACTTTCTGTTCGTGAAATGAGAACCTCCTGGTTGTGAAATCCAGAGGCTCCTTTTCGGTCTTCATCTCACTTGACATCTCTCGCCGATTACGAGGGTCCGAGCCCTTCTGCTTTCTGCACGCTTCTCCACCAGCTTCCTTAACGTACGTCCTGATATTCTTTTCACTCTGCAACTTCTGAATTGTCCTCGAGTGACTATTTCCAAGTCCATCCCTCACATGTGTCTGTTCCCCAGGGCTCTGTCCTCATTCTCTTCTCTGAGTGACCTCATTCATTCCCACGCTTCCAGCTATCACATACACACCAACGGTGTCTAGACTTATGTCTCTGTCCAAGTCTCTGCTCTGAGCTTCACACTCATCCAAGGGTCCCACTGGATAGCAACACTTGGATATCCCAAACTCGTCATCCTCGCCATTCTCAAACTTATTTCTCCTCCGAAGTTCCCTAACATGGTGCACTCGCTGTTCATGTCACCAGCCAAGTAACCAATCATATAACCAAGACAAACTAGGTCTCCATCCATCTCTGACTCCCCCAATTTCCCGCTCGGTCGCAGAGAGTGACTTGTATGTTTGCTTTCACTACATACCAGACAGTTTTGAAAGGTTAGATTTCATATGTTTGGTCTTTAAGACATTATACTTATAGCATTTAAGTTGCCATCAACTCTTTAGTGAATATTTTTAATAAAACCCTTCAAAAATTCATTGTATGAAGTTATGACTTTAGCGTGGTCAACCTGGAGAAGAAACATCGTACTTTATTAGAGAGAAGAGGAGGAAAATGTCTTTTGTTCTCTTATTCTGTGGCAGGGGTTGACTGTTATCTGTGTTTCTTGTCAGCTGCCCATCAGCACTGAACTTCTAAGGCTCTGCTAAGCCTTTGCCTACTTCAGATGACTCATTTTCTTCTTGAAATAATATATAGAGATTTTCTCCCTGAAACAGCACTAATATATTTTTCTCTACAAGTCTCTGGTTCTGTCTGCTTTACTGTTTTCAGAGTCTTTGCTAATACTCACCCAGATATGAAAATCAAATGGGCTCGCAAAAGGAAACACTGTGAGAGATTTAATCATATTTACCTTCTAATTCTTTTATTATCATCAGGCATGTCAATATCTGGGTTGAATTGGTAATGAAGGAGTTCGGTACCAAAGAGATCATATTCCAAGTAACAGCCAAGTTGAGCAAACTCCAGTAGTTCCTTCTTATCATGTATAGTCCTAGAGACAATAAGACAGACATATTGTTATTACTGAGAGCCTGTTTTCCACATACACGGATTAAAAGTTTTAAGCATATTATGTACCGAAACATAACTTTTGCGACAACTTTTGAATCGGCTCAGACGATGTGACTATAAAATAGTAGATCCACTTTGTCACCAGAAATAAAAGAATTTACCCATCCAAAAGGGAATTTTTCCCTTCTAAAGTATTCAGAAACTATAGACATTTTAATTATGCTACCATTATTCAAAAATACCTTTGTAATTCTCCTACAGAATTGTCTTCAGGATATGGTTCGTAAACATTTGAAAATCCTTAGCGGGACTGCCGTGAGCTGTGGAAAATGGCAAAGGAAATTTGGCATTGGGCGTGGTGAATGAGGTGAGTGATACCTGGGTAAAACCTGAAGCTAAGGTAAGGTAAGAGGGTCACTTTCTTGTGATGATCATGATGTGGTTCTAAAATTAACTTCAAAGCCTAAGTAGCTATCGTCGCAACTTTTATAAAAGAGGCCATACTCCTACAGATATTTATGTTCTGGTGTGCTTATTTTTAATTTATTTATGATGACTTTTGTGGATATCTTCTTGTCTCAATAGCAACTGCTATAAGAATATCAGTATGTTATGATGTAAGACTGTGTAAATGAATGGGAATGGAGAGAAACGTAAATAAGCGCAGTAAACAAACAGAGGAGTAGAGTCTGGAGCAAGAGTAGGTGACCTCAGGAAACTTAGATTATAACAAGTAAAAAAGGGATGAATTAAGTTAGCCCCCCAAAAACCATGGTAGAAATTCAAACACATAGAGAAAGAAGAACGAAAGAAAAAAAGCATTCTACCAAAAGACAATAAATATGGGAAAATGAGATGGAAAAATGCACCCCATTAGACATTGTGTAAAGGGAATTAAGGACCTGGATAAAGGGAGTGATTGTTTGGGATCCCAGACTGGCCTAGAAGAAGAGTTGGAATGTGAGACAGTCATTGTCTTATTTGGCTTTAATCTACTCCAATATACTATGACTTTGGCAACTCCATGATGCAAGGATTAAAGCACTTTTATAGGTCTATACGTCTGCTTCTGAGAGGTCAGAAGTGTTTTCACAGCCTTTCTTCCAAACTGTAGGAGAACCAATTAAACCTCCGAGTGTCATGAGCACGAGAGGTCTCTGCTGTCCTGAGATGCTTTCTGGGAGTTCATTATTGACTTTCACTCAGAGCAATCACGGTGTACCTGGCTCCTTTTTATCCTGTTCGCCAATTCAGCATAACTTAGGGTTCACAATGTTGTTTTAGGCAAGGAAGCTAAAATCTTTGTACTATGAAATGTACATTAGTTCTGTGCTGCCTTCTATTAATAACTATTCCTTTTCCATCTTCTTACCATGGAGACCATCTTTTGCTTCCAAAATCACTAGGCGTTAAAGAGTATGTGTTTTTCCGTAGTAAACATATTCTGTTTCCCCCAATGAACCAGGCTTAAAAACAAAATATACAAGTAAAATAGCATAATGGGGAAGAGATAAGTTTTGTGTTTTTCCTTTTGAATCAATTTGTTCAGTTTGTTCATTACTAATAGAAGCAAGGCCCTGTGGTTGGGGAGAGTCAGGGAAAATGGAGGTGCCAGTAACAGGTTGGACCAGACACTTCTTTCTGCTCCTAATGTCTGTTTCCTTCTTTGGGTCTGATGCCTTGAGACTACGTTTTCTAAATTTTAAGTGATCTATTGAGGAATATGTTCAATAAAAGTTCCACAGTAAATGAAAAACCATAGGAAAACCTTTAATCTTAGATCCAATTGAAAACAATGAGTGAAGTTGCTCACCATCGTCATCATAATCATGGTTAAAAAATTACGCAAACTTCCTGAGTTTCTGACGTGCATTATATTTATTATCTCACTTAATGTTCCACAGTCCCATCGGGTAGCACTTTTACAGATGGGAAAATTGGGACTTGAGAGATTAGATACTCAAGGTGATATGCTGAAGTAAAAATTCATTTCAAGGCTAGAATCTACTCTTTTAACTGTCATACCATATGACCTCGCCTGTCGCTAAATATTTTGTACTCAAATGACATTTTCCGAAATTGCATGGACTATTTGTACACATCAGATTTAAAAAAAAAATTTATTTTGAAATTTAATTCCCTCCCCATAGTACCCTAACTTAACACTTGAAAAATGGAGACTTTACCATCAAAGGGGGTGAGAAACCCCCAAAGTAAGAAGGGATTACTTTGTGGAGATCTTGCTACTTCAAGAGTAAGTACATGTAATAGAGAAGATTTGACCATTATAATTTGAATGATGTGGTCACAGGAAGAGAAGGGACTATACTAATCATGACCGTTGCTCACGTCCTGATTAGGAGCTCGACACTGCTCTAAGCCTCATTCAAATCGATGGGCATGTGTTAAGGGTCTTCTACCATCAGACCAGACCTCTCTCCTGAAGCCCAGACCCATGTGTCTCATTGCCTGCTTGTCACCTCCACTTGGCTATCTGACAGACAGCTCGAGTTAAACACTTCTCTAACCAAGCCCCTCATCGGCCACCCTAAACCACCTGCTTCAACACCCTTCACCATCTCAACTGATAGCTTTTCCATCCATCCAGTTGCTCAGGCCAAAACCCTGTAATCATCCCTGACTGCTTGCTTTCTTTCATACTCCATATCGGGATAGACTCTGTGCCTGACTTTCAAAATATGACCAGAATCCAGACAGGTCACCACCTCCCTGCAACCTTCCTGGTCCAAATGACCACCATCTCTTGCAAGATCCCTGTAATAGATTCCCCGCTGCTTCCCTGGCTTCTACCTTTGTTCTGCTACAGTCTATTCCAATGTAGCAACCAAAGTCTATCTTCATGTTTAAGTCATATCAGGTCCCTCCTCTGCTTGGAACCGACCAATGGCTTCCCATTTTCCTCAGAGAAAACGTCAAGGCCTTATGGTGGCCTGCGAGGCCCTGCATGATCTCTTAGGATGTGGTCTTACACAGCCTCATCCAAGAGAGGCAGGGGGAGTGTAGGAATCCACATCTCTAGATCTCAATTATATATAAATGCGACCTATCTTATCAATGTTATCTGAAAGATATCTCCATAGGTAGAGAGACCTTTCTAGAGGAAGACTAACATGCTCCATAATATTCATTAACATATGTAAGTTTTGGCAGTAACCCCCGGGAATTCTTATCCTGTAGAACAGCAATATAGAAAAGAGTGTGACTCTGGGGGAAATGGTCCCTCTGTAAAACACAAAATTTTTGTAGCCACATGTAGGGGAGATTTCTTTAGAAGAGAAGCAACTACACCGATATTTTGGATATTCTAGAAAATTCAGTTAAAAAAAGAAGCAGACAAATTTTTTGTAATTAAAAATCCAGGATGTATAAATATATATACGCCTATCATAGATAAAGGTATAGATAACTATATTATTTTTTACTGACGTTTAGTGATATGACACCCTCTGGATAACTGAATATTAGTGTGTAGGAAATTAAGAAATGAATTCACTGAAATCTCTTTACTAAAGTGCAAAATCCATGTGGAGAAAATAGTGTCAGTGATCACGCATATTTTTCATAGGTCCTGAAAAACATAGAATTTGGCATTAGATGTTCACGAGAGGTAGGATGGGAAAAGTAGGTGAAGCAAGAATAATAAACACTTGATCATCATCAGGTATTTAAAGTAGCCCTATCTCATTTAATCCTCACAAACACCATATGAGCTAGCTATGATCGTTCCCATTTTATAGATGAGGAGACTAAGTCTCAGAAAAGATGAGTAACTCAAGTTCCAAAATGAGGAGGTATGAATAAATCCAGACTGTGTTTGTCTTCAGAAGCCATGCTGCCCCTTCTGTAATGGGGGCACCCCCCACCCCCAGCAGCTCCCTTTCTTCTCACCAGCACTTACCTATAGAGAAATCCACCCTGCTACAGACATCCTAGGGTACCCTGCACTGCGAATGTCTAACAAGGTGACTTAACCACATGAAACTGACATTCAGTTGGATGATTTCCAGGCACTGTCAAGGTGCTATTGAGATTGCATTTATGCAAGTGACTTTTTTCCCCTTGGAGGAAGGATTGACCCTAGATGTCACCATGGTACCATGGGAAAAGGTCCTGCACTTGGCGTCTTTGAGATCAGGATTAAGCAGGGATCAGTGATCTCACAGCACTTCTCAAACAAGTGGAGGTGTCAGCCTCGGCTGGTGCTACTCATTCCACATTCTCTATCCGTCATAATGATATCTGTTCTTATTCTGGTCTTCCCCAGCTTTTAAGGTAAGTACTTTTCACCTCTTGCCCTAACCAGTCATCGAGGTGATTGTGAGATGCAGAAGAGCTACTGCATTTCTCACTGGAGAAACTTCCTTCTTCAAGGTGGGTGAAGTGGTTGTAATGTCATTTTTAAAATATCACGGATTTCCCAAGATGAAGATGAGATTTTAGTAACAAGTATTTGTTCTCGTCATTCGTTTTATATTATTTCTTCTTTTGCATGTTTTGCACTTTTGCTCCTCAAGTAATAAGCAAATTTCTATATATAAAGAACAGGTATAAATTTATGACAACTCTATTGACATCAGCTAAGAAAATAGTGTCTAAAGTGATTTGGCTATCTTCATTTTTAGAATATGGTTATCATTTACTAGTGTGTTAAGGCTGGCACTATAGCAGGACCGTTGATTCTCTTTTTCATACTTCTTTCTATTCTAGATCTTATCCAGGTGCTGAGGGGGTTAGTTTAATGTCAGAAATGCACTCTGAATGGGAACTAGGAGGTCTGTGTGAAGTGATAATTTAGACAAGGGTTTGTGGGCTATCTAGGTAGAAAGAACTCAGGAGCAGAGGAGAGGATGGGATTTGTGGGTGTGATCAAGATGATAGCATACTTTACATTTGTCTTGGGCTTTGCAGTTTCAAATAACTCTCAAATACATTATTTCATTTCATATATTCAAGCACACTTTCATGAATTAATATAGCAAACATTTACAGTCTCATACTATCACCTACCGTATGCGTGCTTCTGTGCTGGGAATACAGTTATGAATTAGAAATTTAAGCTGGTATCTTAAGGAACTTAAAGTCTAGAGAAGGAGATAGATATTTAAACCAATAATTACAAATAAATGTGAAAGTTTTTTGTAGTGCAAATAAATACAAAGTATTATGAAAGAATAACGAAAGGAGTGACTCATTTGAGTTGAGTCGTGAAGAAAACTGTTCAGATAATTGTTGGTTGGGTGAGGGTATTGGGTGACGGATGGAAGATACAAGAGATCACTTGTTGAGAGGCAAAAAAAAAAAAAAAGAGCTTGTTGTTCCTGAGGATGAGGCTATAATTATGAGAAC